AACTGATCCACTTTCTGGCAAGGAATATATATACATACGTATAATTGGCAATTAGTAGCCGCTAAATCGATTTTTCGTTCGAGTTCCTCAATTTTTTTTGGTTTTGCGCCATGATGTTCTTCCAATAAATGGAGGGATCTACAGTTTATACTAAGCCAGCTCCGAACAGCTGATGTAATTTTTAAGGGAAGCCTTTATTTCATGTCCGAAATACACTCGGAGAGGTGGACATTCCCTGTTGAGCGGAGACCGCAAATTAGTAAATTTAACTTAATTTTTTTAAATTTTTTATTAATTTTTTTTATTTAAATTACTTTTCCATATTTTTTGGATGTTAGTGGCACCGGTATATGAACCCGAGTCTTGTGAATGTCAGCCCGCAATGCTAAACACTCGGCTTTCCCGGCCGAATGGAAAGCAATAATGTCCCGAATTTCAACCAAACTGAACGTGCGCTTTTTTTTTTTTAAATACAACTAAAAATTACAAACATATTGTGGCGAAAATGCGAGGCGAATGTCAGATGAAAGAGAGAAGCCGATAACTAGTACATTCTAGAGCGTTAAAAAGAGAACCTTTGATATCGAAAAACTCGATTATTCTAAACTTTCGTCTACGAGCAGCCGACTGCTATATAAGGGCGACACTTAGCTGCCAAGTAAGTCAGTTACAAAGTGAACTCGTTGGCGACAATGACAGAGCAGAGTATAGCGGAATAAGCTATTTGTTTATATTAAGTCGTAAAGTAAACGAAAATGTGAAAGTTTTATACAGGTGATTGTAACTAGTAAAGTGCATTGCAATGAAATTGTGAATTACTGAGTAAATAAAGGACATTAGATAAATTCTTTATAACGAAAGAAACTGCAAATTAAGTTGGCGATTTTTTATTTAACAATCCAGAGATCGTACCCGAAGGATTCAGAAAATCATCGAGGTTGATTCAGCAAAATCGTAACAATATAATTAGATGAGTGAAGTTTGTTGGTACAAAGCGAAACCAATCGAACTGATATTTGGTTCGTACGCTGCAGATTCGTTTAAGGCGAATTAGTTATCAGCTGGTATAAACGAACCCGTTGTTTAACTGGTAGTTAAGAACTGGTATACAACTAGTATGCAGCTAATGCACAGACTTACAAGTGACAATTCGCTGGATATCGCTGTGCAAAAATACCTGTTGCTTAAATGAAAAAAAAATTGAAGGTGAACTAGTTGGCGTAAAAATGTAAACTAGTTGAGTTCTACAATAGTTAACAACTCGTATTTTTCTGCAGATTATAAACATACATATATTTATATATATGCATGTATGTGTTTGCAAAATACCACCGATGAGGTATATCAACAAAAACCACCAAACTGTCTATCACACCTTTGCCGTGCGTACATTTCATTGCAGAAAGTTGAATTTTGCATTTCAACACTTTCAGTATTATTTTGCATTCATTTGATATGCTCTCGATAGATGCATTCATGTAATTTGCATTCTTTCGTTGTATGAATTGCATAAATTTCATACAACACATTTCTATTCTCATTTTGCCACATTCAATATTTGTAATTTGAAACAAAATTTGAGGGAAATTTTCGATTGTTGCTGTTACTTTTGCTGCTGCTGCTGCTGCTGTTGATGTTGAGTGGAAATTCGTTTTGTGCTGACTGTCGGAGTATAGAAATATCAACTATTCGTGCAAGTTGAGTACTTGTCTAATATTTAATTGACATTTTGACATAATTCATGTTGTCTGTTGGGGATTTTCGGCACAATTCGGAAGATGTGCATGCCCTCATATTACAAAAAAACGTTGTAATAAATAAAAAATTTTAAATTTCGTTTTACAGAATTTTTATTATTTTATATACCCTTTTTATTTACGTAAATACTAAAATTTTTGTAAACTATGATACATACATACACTTTTTATACTGAAATTTTCATCAATAAAATACCGTTTTGTAAATTATTCGCAAAAACTTAAAAGCTAATTTAATGCTCTTCTTCTTCTTTGGCGTAGCCGAATCAATAATATCTCAGCATTCACTCCTTATCTTCGCTGTTTGATGTCAGATAGAAATAGGAAGTGAAACCAGGTCCATCTCAACTGATCAGCTTTCCGCATCTATTTCACGTGTTTTAAGCAATGGCAAAGTTGCGAGGTAGACAGTTTGGCATTCCTCATCGTACCAGCTCCATTTCTGGTACTGGCCATTTCTGACGATTATTTGCGTAGGGGCGGTACGTATGGCATTTGAGATACCGTTCCAGAGTTCTTTTATATCAGTTTGCTGATTGGTGATCTCAGAAAGCAGGAATGCAGGTCGAGTAGAAAACCATCGCTTGTTGTGATTGCTGACGGGCTTTCTTTGATACGCCAAAGTACATGCATATCATCGCTGCGATATGACAGTAATCTTTGTTGATGTGAGTTCCTCGGAACTTAAGCACATCTTGAATAGGTACTAGAGACTTATAGTTCGTTATCCCACCGGCACGTTTTGATTTTGAGTTTTTCGATTTGGAAACAGCCAGGTCCGGGCTTGGACAATCCCTGATTACATCGTCATTATTTTTTGTTGTTCTCTCATGGCGCAAATCAGCGATGTGTTGAATAATTTCATTTTTGCGTCTATGCGTTTATACACTTAAGTGAATCCGAGCATTCCGCGAGAGTCTTCTTCCTACCAAAAAGTCTGACACCCAATTGATGCTCCTTTATAAGGTCGCTGTGGTAGATTTCACAAGGATCTCATCGCTTTCATCCACCGCACTTCTCTGAGCAGCGGTACCTGCACAATTCAGCGGTTGAACACTCAAGATGCATGCCCTTAAATTATAGTCTATTATTGACTATAAGTGGTTGAAGTGGTCGTTAACAAAATTTCGGTCTCTCATGCGAGGCTGATTTGTCTTTTTCTTTGTAGCTGGCTTATAAGTGGGGTGTCTTAAACCCATCGCGAAACCTAACTTTGTGAGTAGCTTCAAGTTTGGCATACATTAATATACTGAACCGCTTGCTTTAAGATCGACATCCGCCCAAATCCGCACCTCTAGCAAACCGAGTCTAGAATTATACTTCAGTGAGCTCTTAAACTGAATATGCCGAATGGAAGGCCGTACTGAAACTTCCCCTCTTGTGATCGTAACCCCAGACTCCTAATGGGTTTGCAACCACATGAAGCGCCATCTTTACTTAAATTTTTTTTACTACGCAGAGATTACAATACGTAATGGTGTCAGTTGCAAGACTGGAGACTTTTTCGATGACAAGAATTGGCAGCCTCAACTTCACATTACGGCATAGAAACGTCTATGTATGATTTCTAAAGCCAAAATTTGATACACTTTGCTCAAAACAGAGTATTTGGCGCATTAAACAACAGCAAAAAACAAAATCTCACTGCGAAAATCTACTTTGTTTCACTGACCGGCTTAATTTGCTTCTCAAAAATGAAATAGCCGGAACAAATACATATTCCGAAATATCCACAATTAGCATATTTAATAGTTGCCATGCCTTCCTTCATCATCTTCTCACACCAGCCATACGTTAATTAACATACAAATTACATTAATTAACACCAATTAATTAACTGAAACAGCATAATATGAGCATTAAAAAAAAAAAAAAAAAAAAAAAAACTGGTTTAATAAAGTGTTGGGCAGCGAAATAAGTAAATAGAGGAAGCAGAAAAAATAGATGAAATAAATGAAAGGAAATTAAGAAGGGCAAAAAATGAAAGAAAAAGGCGAAAACATGGTTTTAATTAAACAATTAAAATGACAATCACCATTTTTGCCACTTTAAGACCCGAACAAAGTACGAAGAAAACGTAAAAACGCAGAGGAAAAAACGGATAATATAAAAAGGTATACCACATTTGACGGCAGCAGTGGATGAGTTTATTAGATTTCTTTTTTGTCGTTCGGTTACAAAGCATTCTTTTTAGTTTACTTGTTGTAATTTCTTCAGAAGATATGTACAGTCCGAAAAAAAAAAGTTGAATAAAATAAAATTATGTCGATTAAAATAAAATAAAATAAAATAAAATAAAACAAAATAAAATAAAATAAAATAAAAAAAATAAAATGAAAGAAAATGAAGTAATTTAAGAAAATAAAAAATAATGTGAAATAAATTAAGTGAAATAAAAAAAAATATAAGCAAAAGATAAAATAGTGTAAAAATTAATAATAAAATATTTTAAGTTAAATTAACAAATTATAAAAAAATAATAAAGTAACATTAAATAAAAATAAAATAAGATTAGTTAAAGTTAGATGAATACAAAAAAATAATAATTGATTTAAATTAAAGTGAAATAAATAAGACAAAATAAAAATAAAAACTAAAAAAATGGAATAATATAAAACAAAATAAATAACAAAATAACTTAAGTTAAGTTTAAATAACATAAAATAAAATGAGTTAAAATTAAATGAATAAAAATTAATAATGTTATTAAAATAAACTAAATTGAAAACAAATAATATAAAATAAAATCAATTAAACTATATTCAAAAAATTTAAATAAAAATATTTTCTTCATCACTAGTGAGTTTTTGGTATCATATGTCAAGCTCTAAACACATTCTTTTTGCTTATCAATAAAAAATTTATCTCTATATTCGTATATGTTTTCCAATTCACCGGTAACATGGTTATACCGTAATTGCCGCCAGCACTTGCCAGCTATTATATTGCCAATTTTTCTGCTTCACTGTCTTTTTTAACTATGGTCAAGTTCGCTAATAATTTTTTTTTTTAATTTGTATTCGTTTACCTTGCATTTGTTAATTTTGGTATTTCTTCTACTTGTTGTTGCTCTAGTTTTTTACTCTTAGCTCGTTTTATAGCCAACACCTTTATTATATTACATGCTTGTCTCAATTTATAACACTTTTTACTCATTTGCGCATTTTCTGCTGTTTTATCTTTTCATGTTCTGGTTTCTGTGGCAACTTTCATCTCATATTTCCGTGTACTTGATGCCCGCAGCTGGCCAATGAAGGTGTGCCGCCATTGCCATTGCAAGGCAAGAACTTTCAACGTGCTAGAAATTAGGAATTTCAATTTAAATGCAGTGAAAGCAAGACGAGGAGGAGATGGAGAGGGAAAGAGAGAGAGAGAGATAGAGAAACATCGTGGAGAGGGTATGTGAGGTAGTAAGAGAGACACTGAGTAATATGAGCAGATGCTAAAGGTTGGTGGAGTTCAGGTGCTATGAGGACATGAAGGAAAAATATGCAACAACGAGAAAGGTTTCAAATTAAAAAAAAAACACAAAAACAAATATGCAGCATTCAGCAACACAAAACCGATAGCAACTAAAGAGGACAAAAAGGTGATGATGAGAAAAAATTTGAAACGCATAAAAATTATAAAAAACGGAATGGGGCAAACATGCAGAGAAGTGCAGCGAGATGCAGTGAAAGATATCAAAATTCTAGCGACACTGCGATAAAGTGAATTATCAACGCTGAAAGGAGTAATGTGACAATTTGGACGTCTTTTGCGTGGTTTGGGTTATGTTGCTGCTCGGTAAGGTCGAAATGTGTTACCACAATGCAGCAGATGCCACAAGCAACTAAACCAAGTGAAGATGATAATAAAAGTAACTAACAAAGAGCACAGCAAGCATTACCAGATAATTTAATAATACTCAAGTCTCAGTCCAAACAAATCAAAAATTTTTCAATTAAAAAAATTACTTATTTTTCTTTCTTTCAATTTTTAGTTCATTAAAAGTAATTTTTAATTATGAAAGTCACAAACACTTTTTTTGATTGCTTCAATATTCATAATACATCACTTCAAAAACTTCAAATGGAAGAATTATGTAATTTATGTGTGTAAAATAGTATATGCTCAAGTATAATTATAAATTTTTTGTAAACAAATGACGATAAGAAAGTATTTTCAATAAAGTTTTTAACTTAAAATATATCAATATTTTTTCTAACTTTTTTTTTGTGTTTGAAATGTTTAAAAATCAAAGAAGAGCAAGAAAATTGACCGTCAAGACGAATAATTAAAAGTGCTCTTCCACGATCGGGGTTCAATTTCCATTCAATGGATTTTATTTAATGACAAATTCTACTATGCGGAAGGTCGTGGGTCTGATCCCTGCGCGACCAACATCCAAAAATTATAGAAAATTAATTCAAATAAAAATTTATATTAACTGTGTTTTTGAGACCAAATTAAAGCTCCTCATAAAAAGCCAAGCATTCGAAGGTGGGTTGTAATGATTTATCGGCCCCTCCGACTCGCATCACGAAATTTATGTATCGTATATGTATATGTATATGTATTTACATATATAAAAGGATTTCCAATAAGAGCTCTTATTTTGAATGACCTACTAATCCGGTGGATTTCACTCCTGAAACTGTAATTTTTTGACATTTGAAAAGTAGAAACTGTACAAGTAATAAAACGGGAAAGACACCCGCTTCAAAGCAAAAGCGTTTCATAAAAAAAAACACAATTTTCTGCCCTCGTAAAGTACCTTGTCGGACCGCAACACCGAAATTGGTAGGAAGATGGAACTTGTGCCGACAGTTAGAACAACTGAGAATATTGCTTCTGCAGGTCAAAGTATTGAAGAGTTGACCATTTGCCGCCCATGAAAAAGTTCCGGAATTTCATCGAAAAACCATCTTGACAAATTTGGCCTATTTCCACCCCGATGGTTATGTCAATAGGAACAACTGTGGCGGCTAGAGAAACTATTACGTTGCATGGGTTGAGCTATCAAAAAACCGACCCTACCTGTCTCACTAGCAATGAAAGTTTCGTTCTTTAAAGGGAAAAATGTCATGCCCATGTTGTCTCTCGAAGAGTTGAACGCAATTTGGCTGATGAGATCTCGTGTGTCTTTTACCTTTGGGGCCAGTCACTCTGCGATTTGGTGGTGGAAAATTTCATAAAAGTGATATCGTCCTGAAAGCGTAGTCGTGGCGGCCATTTGGACATTTTTGCATTGAAGTAACCATTCGATCATTTATCTCAAAAAATGCCACTTTTGAATATCAAAATAACATTTCTTCTTGGCAACACCTACACAATGGAAATTATCGAGAATCGTTTATAATCAGAAACTCCACTTTTGAGGAAAGTCATTTTAAGATTTCCACGACCGATGGATAACAAGAGTTGTTAGGTGAAGTGTGGCGCATATTCAGCCAAAGAGCGAAAGAAGCCGAAATACGTGAGTACTGTGACTTTGTGAAGCTGGCCTATAAGCTTTAGACATATATATTTGGCACTTTATAACCGCTGAAGCAATTTTCGGCCGAGCTCCTAGTCCAATTTGTGGTTTTGCGTCTTTTTGTTGTTCCAACAAACGGAGGGACCTACAGTTTACACTAAGCTGCCTCCGAGCGGCTGATGGTTTTTTACGAGGAGCCTTTCTTTCATGTCCGAAATACAATCAGAGGGGTAGCCATTCCATTTTCTATAACTTTTGGATGTTGGTCGCATGTGGATTTGAACCCGAGCCTTCCGAATGTCAGTACAGTGCACAATGTTTATTTAGTGAGCACTTCTCCAGTCTGCTGAATGACAAGGTACATGCATCAGACCGATCGGCCGGACTCGTAAAAAGAGGGACGAAAGAAATAGTAACAGTTGTATTGGGATAAGTCTCCGCAATAAAGCGTAAAAGGTTGTATCTAGCGTATTGTAAAAAAGTTAATTAGATTTCATCAATGGGAGCTTAAACCTAGCATTTCAACTGCGTTATGTGTTGGTGAAGCCCGTGGGAAAGTTGCCATCAACAAGACGGGAACAAGCTGCCTCTTTGCCACTATGTCTGCTTTTGATATTACCGCGGAGCTTATATAGCTGTCTTAAATAACGCAGAGACGCAGTCAGACGCTCGGTACTAAACAAAATCTCAAAGCGGGTGACTCGCTATTATGTGCCTTCTTCCACTTAAAGGTGGACAACATAAAATAAGAGTTGCAGAGATAAATAGAAACTTTAAGAAGAATGTACAATTGCTGGGTTTGGTAGTTTCTGAGAACAGAGCCTAAAAATACAGCCCAGCATTTTATCTCCTAAAGTGCTACTCTCAAACTAAGTCGGCAAATGGAAAGTAAATAGCCAAAGATCAGATTTTACAAGTCCCTCAATATTCCCGTCCCACTATATGACACGAAAGAAATAGTTTGCATTAGATTTATGGTCCCTTGCGCATTGACGAATAACTTAGACGATGGAATCACGAGCAATACAACGACATTGACATTGTTCAGCGAATATGAAACATTGGCTTCACTCGCTGGATCAAGTCATGATGCGACAACATTTCAGCCCTGAAAGAATTAGATGCAGTACACACTGGAGGCAGCGCAGGGAGAAGAGTGACGCAGCTTCATTTGGAATTCCCAATTGACGTTGAACAGATAAGATAGGACGCGGATTGGCGCGCATTATTGACTTAGCAGGACTATAGCGGTACCTATGCCAATCAAGGGGCAGAAGTCTGTCCGAAGGTTCAAGTAACAAAGATAAAAGTCAACAAACAACAACAAACCGTAGAGAATGTTGAGCTCGCTTTTTGAATTTAATTTGATGCACACAAAGCCATACAACCGGTCTCAGTTCGCAAAAGAATGCTGGAACACAAATTAAAACTTCAAGTGAAATGCGACCAAACAACGCGTTGCTGCGCATTTGCAAATGAAATTACTTTCAGACCTTTGACATACAAAAATTACAGATAATAAAGGAAAGCAAATAAACCAGTCAGAAACCAGTAATCTATGCGATGAATGGGAGCCAGGGGTTGGTTAGGGATAACAACGAGACAAAAATAACCCACAAAATAGCCATGTAATGATTGCTACGAGGGTTGCTTGTTTGGAATATGAGTTAAATGTAGCAAAACAGTAAAGAGAAAATATCCTATATCTTATATCCTGGCCAATGGTTGAATTACCAGGTCTTATGTCACACTGGTAAAGTCCAATCAGTTTGTCGACGATGGGCTTTAGTCTTTCACACAATACGCTTGATAGCGCCTAAAAGGCGATGTTAAGGAATCTTATCCTATGGTAGTTGGCGCAGATTGTGGGATAGATCTTATGATCGGGCAGAGTACACTTAGGTTCCAATCGTCGAGCATGCTTTCATCGGATCACACTGGAGACATGTCTTCCATCTATCGCAGCATGATCGATCTTGAGACAGCCAAGTAGCTTTGTGCATTTTCTCGTGCTGGAATCTAGTGCCACAGACCACCATATTTCGGGCGCCGGCCCATTAGGTGATGTTTCGTCGTTGAGGCTAAATTTTCCGACTTTTGTGCCAAGGGTACCTTCTTTGCCCACCCTGGTGTTGAAGTCGTCAGCCCTATAAGTATGTTCAAGGCGCTCGTAAAAGCCATCCTTGGTCATATCGTCCTTCTCTTCCGTCGGGGCTCAAATCAACGATATGTTAAGGAATTTCGATTGATGCGGCTTGTGGCGATAAGTTAGTCCACCGGAGTCAGTGTACTCCTTAAACATTTGCGGAGGTAGTCATCAAAAGCTGGGTATCTCATCCGAGGCATAATATAATTTTTGATTGGAGTTTATTTTTCATGTGGCGCGTACCAAGCCCTACGCACAACCGCATGGGAATCGCCTTCCCACTTTAGCTTGCCACCAAACGAATTTTTTTTGGCTCTTTAGGGAATACTTGGTCTAAGACCAGAAGTCGTGAGTTGCTTGAACCATATGCAAAAGAATCGTTTCTGGCCACTCCCAGGTGAATGACAGTCAAAAACTTTTTTCACTTTCGTGAACTTCTACAACAACTCCTACAATAACTACAATGAAGTAAATACTCCTAAATTGACAAGATATTACTCCTAAGAGGTGAGAATCGTTATACGATGCTTCACATCGACGAACACCGATCCTATTAATGCCACACAGTCACACCCGCAGACTCGATCCCTCATCAGAGACCCTCTGCACTAACAGTTACTGCAGGTAAAGTGGAGGCGAGGGCTCCATAGCTACATTGGCCAATCTTGTCTAGAAGAACTAATGCCAGCCAAAGCGATCCATGAAAGGAATTGAAAAAGCCATCTTGATGATGCCATTGGCGCATATTAGATTCGCTTAATTCTAGGTGCAGGTGTTTAGTCATTTGGGCAGCTCATGAGACAACGCTCTATCTTTCGGCGTGCCTTAGTTGGATCCGTTGTTTATGAGAAATACCTCAAATATCTCTTCAGTGACCGCTGGTCTTGTCGAGATGCTTATTTTTTAGACTGAAATCATTCTA